TTTTTTCTGATTGATCCCTTTCCAAAGAAGTATTCAGGTATTTGCCTTCAATCTCACTAATTCTGTCTTCCATTGATTCAATTCTACTCCTTTGCCTGTTCAGTGTCTCTGAAAATGTAGTATTAATCTTCTGGATTTCAGTGTGTAGATTTTGTATCATATATAATTTTTCATTTATTTTGTCATTTTGTTCTTGTATTGTCTTCCAAAATTGTTCTAGGGTTTTCTCTGTGTTTTCCTCAATCTGCCTCTCAATTCGTTGAAGATTCCTAAATATAATTATTTTGAATTCCTTATCAGGAAGTTTCAATGCTGCGTCTTCCTCAGGGATGTGTGTTGGGTGTGTATCCTGATCCCTTGTTTCTCCTGCTTTATCTTGTTTCTTTGTGTGGACTGTGATGCTCTGTTTCCTCCAAGGCATTGTGATGTTTTTGTGTTTATATTTAATTGGCGATTGTACATTGGAGTGCCTCGCCCACGATTTTCATTTTCTTTGTTTTGTTTGTATGTTATCTATGTAAGCAGGGTACTGTGCTGTGCTCCTCTATTCGCTAGTTGACAGCACTTATACACTCACCACCTGTCTCCTTTCCTGTTGTCAGCCTCTTGTATGTTCCTGTCATCCTTGGCAAACAGAGCCTATTCTTTGTTGTTGTTGTTGTTATATGCTGTTGAGTCAGACCCGACTCATAGCAACCCCTCCTTGGGTTTCCGAGGCAGTATCACTACAGAAGTAGATTGCCTCATCTTCCTTCTGAGGAGTGACTGGTGGGTTTGAACTACCAGCCTTCTTTTTAGCAGTCAAGTGCCTTAGGCACTACACTATCAGAGCAAATCCGAATGAGAATGCTGTCACTTTAAAATCCAAAATGGCTGCCACTTGTAAAGATTTAAAATGGCTGTGCCCTTGGTCAATTTAAATATCCAAAATGGCTGCTGTGTGTAAACAATCAAAATGGCTCTGCCCTCTGGACAGCGGGACGTCCACAGCTCGTGTTGTCTCCTTCCTTGCTGTTTCTTTTCCTAGTCACAGGCCACCAGCACAGTCATCCCTGCAGCCCTTGTCGACCAGGGCCAATCTTTAGGTCAATTCTCAGGTCCCAACACCACTTGGAAATATTCAGCCTGCTGGTCCCATCAGAGTAGTTGACAGTCCACTGCTCCAACTGTCTCTGTACTCATTGTTTTCGTTCAGGTTTTTCCAGTAGTTGGTGCCTTATCCATTTCTGTGTACTTTATTTCAAAGCTCAGGGCTCCAGAATTATCTTCTGTCAATTGGTTTCTCTTTTCTTTGTTGAGGAGGGTCTTTGTGGCTTGTCTACCTATTCCTCCATCTTACCAGAAGTGAAAATCAGTCTTGATATCTTGTCCAGTATAGATTCTGAACAGATGAATAGCACAATTTGTTATGGATTAAATAATTCTCCCTACCCCCCAGATATGTATTGGAATCCTAACCTTATACCTGTGGATGTAATCTTGTTTAGAAATAGTTTTATTTGTTATGTTAAGTAGAGCATATCCAAGTAGGATAAGTTCTAAATCTAATCACGTCTGAGTTATAAAAAGAGTAGATTAGACACAGAAAAGGAGTGCTTGGGTGGTGTAAATGGTGAAGTGCTGGTCTACTAATCGAAAAATTAGCAGTTAGAGTCCACACAGAGGCACCTTGGAAGAAAGGCTGGGTGATCTGCTTCTGAAAGGTCACCATCTTGGGAACTATAGAGCTTAGTTCTAATCTGCAGATATGAGGTCACTATGAATTGGAATTAATTCGAGGGCAATTGGTTTGTTTGTTTTAAAACACATAGATATGAACAGGAGGGGGGAGCTGTCTTGGACTATCAGTAAAGAAGGAATCGACACAGCGAAGACCCTGGTTTGTAATTTTAGCCTCCAGAACTGTGAGAAAATAAATTTATGTTATTTAAAGCCACCCATTTGTAATATTTGTTATAGCAGCACTAAGACACAATTAAAACATTACTCTAGAAAGAATATTCTTATGACTGTGAACAGAGTAAAGTGGTTAAAGGAGAGATTAAAGCCAACATGACTTATTACAGAAATATGCGGTAACTCAGAAGCACTGATAGTAAAACCTGATAGAAAAAAGGAATGTAAAAGTAATTGCAAAGAACATACAGTACTGCATTGTCAGTGAAGGCAAATACGGGTATACGGGTGGATAGATGGGTGGACAGGCTGAACTATTAGGTATGTCTATGCAGCAGGGAGTGTACCCAAGACCATGTATAGGGTTGGAAGACAATGGTTCTACAAGTGTATTTGTATGTTCTGTAAGAATTCCCAGGGGTATTGTAGAGCTGATAAGAGACAAGGTTGTAGTCACTTCTTGCCAGCTACCCAGAGGGAACGAGTAGTTGAACCTGTGGGCTTGGGACCATAGTTGCAGGGGACATCAAGCTCAATTGGCATAACATACTACACAAAACATTGTTCCACCTCCTACTTTGGCGAGTAGCAACT